GTGTCACTCTGTGCTGTCCTAGTTGTAGGGACTACATTTCCCAGGCTTCCTTGAGCCCCTGTTCCATGCTGGCTGGGCCAGTAGGGACCCTACAGGAAGAGTAGAGGGCTGGAGGACAGGGGAGGCCAAACTGTTGCTCCGCTTGCCCTTTCTCTGTCTTTTGGAGTGTCCTTGGAGCCAATGGTATGATCCTCCTTTGACGGATGAGGGATAGTGGATGGCCCTGGCTTGGGGCCTTTGGTAAAACCACCTCAAACCACCACTCCGCCCACTGGACCCCAGACCTAAGGGGGGAGCAGCCAGGGCTGGCATCATAGGCTTGTCAGCCATGCAGCTGTGTGGGGACCATGCTGGGTTGGACATTCTGTACTGAATTCTCTTTGGCTGACCTATGTGCAGAAGACCCTGACTAATAGATGGTTACTGTGGTCATGTGTGGCTGCTGAGGACACTCTGGCCTTCCAGCCTGGGTCCCTGACTCAGGAGTTTCTTTTGACTTCTTGTGCATGCTTCTCTGATGGGTGAATTATGAGCAGACTTGAGTCCTAATTCCAGGACCTCTCTGTTCCAGATCTACCTGTTGCTCTACACCAGAGGACTGGGAACAGCTGCCACAATCCAGTTCTTCCGCTTCCAAGTCCTGCGAGCCTGTGCCGTTGGCCTGCTGTGTGGGCAGGCTTCAGATATGCCGCTGCCAGAGCATTTGGCATAAGGAGCGGTGCCACAGGCTGTGGAGAGAGCCGGTGGGTCTAGCCTTGTTAAAGAAGACATGTTGATGAGTATGCCCATCACTTAATTCTTCCCTTCTCAGCAGTTTTCCAACCACACTATGCTGAAAGCCAAACCAAGCCCAGTTCTTCTCTGGATATAAATCAATTTTTCTTCCACAGCCCCTGACATCATCTTAGTCATGAAGGCCTTTCCTCTTCCTCTCTGTCCAGCTGGAAGAAGATCAACCACTATAATGGTTAAGAGCTTGGGTTTAAATCCAGCTCTGCCACCTACTGTGTGGCCTTGAGCAGGTTACTTAGCCTCTCTGTGCCTTAGTTTTGTCATCTGTAAAATGAGGTTAATAGCAGCACTGACACTTCCCCAGCTTTAAATCTCTCCCTGGCTCCTCGCCAGCCACCAAATGCAATCCAACTCCCTGGTGTGGGGCATAAGGATGCCCCCACTGCCCCAGCTCTGCTGTGTTTGGAGCACCCACTGTCCAGTTCTGTGCTGGACACTGTCACACGCTCACCCTCACACAGCTCTCACCTCTGCTTTGCAAGGTGGCATTACTGTTCCTCTTCACAGATGAGGAAAGCAAGCTGGTTCAGGAACTTGCTGAAACACCACCCGGCGAGTGGGAGAGTTGGCGCCAGCCCAGTGTCTGCAGGACCCCCGAGTCCTGCCTCTGATGTCCCCACCTACTCCAGTCCAAACTGAACTTGCTGCCGTTTCCAGAACATTCCATGCTGTTTCAGTCCTCTGTTTCTTTGCCTACGCAGTGTTCTCCTTCCCGGTGCATATAGAGAATTACGAGTAAGTGAATCTGGCAAAAGCAGGTGGTGCAGATGTGAGGGTGTGAGAGCAGACAGGAGGGGTGGCAGCGATGGAGGGAGGTAACCAAGGCTGGATTCTAGGTTTTTGAGCAGCAGTGTTGATATGCCTAAGGCCCTCCCTTTCCTGAAGGGGGCGCTGTGGCTTTCTACTTGGGATCCTGACACCAAACCTGTGGTTTCAGTGTTTCAGGCTGAGGTTGAAGAGTGCACACAGTGTGTCTGCATCTGACAGACTCAAACTCTACTTAGTTTGCAAGGAACAGTTGTCATGGCAACACACACTTACCCCGGCCTGGCTGGCACCACCGACTGCTGATCAGCGTGTCTTTTGTTTCTTCCTCTGTAAAAGAATCTCTTTCGGGACAGACACGACCAGGAGAAACCACTTCAGGCTGACACGATTCATAACCCTCAGTGTAAACCAATCTTCATCTTTGTGACTGGGGCCAAGGAAGAAATGGGGAGAATTGCCCACCATGGGTGGCTTATGGAAGGGTCCTAACAATGTGCTGTGGCACCTAGATCCCAGGAGCCCATGCCCTGCCCCACAGCCCCAGGCTCAATTTCAAACCCCAGTTACTGAAATTCCTGCTCCCCATCCCAGTGTCCTGGCCCTACCTTGGGGTCCCCAGGGCTCACCCCACACCTGCCCGAGAGAAGAATTTTGAAGAAATCGTTCCTAAGGCTTCACAAGTCTTAGAGTTTATCCCAATAATGTATTTATTACTATCATTATTATTAAATTTTATCCTTCCTTCAAGGCTTAGCTCCAGTGTTCTTCAAGAGGTACTGCCAGCACTGAACTGTAGTAGTAATACCTGTGGAACCTAACTGAGGCCTTCTTCCTCCCTCCACCATCGCCCACAGCTCCTGGTCTGTCTCATATTCATTCATTCAATAAGCCCTTACTGACCTCTACTAAGAACCAGGCACTGGACTAGATTCTGGGGCACTGAATACAACAGACAAACATCTCTGTCCTCATGGTGCTTAAAACCTCTCTTGGAAGCAAATGATATATATAATATATAAGTAAAGTATGTAGTGTATTAGGAGGAAAGTAGATCACGCAGATATCTACAAAAAGAACATTTCAGGCAGAAGGAGTATCCAGTGCAAAGGCCCTGAGGTAGGAGGGAGTCTGGTATTGTAGCAACAGCTAGGCGAACAGTGGCTGGGGCAGGGCAAGGAGGAGATGAAGCCTACAGCATAAAGACCTTGTCGGCCACTGCAGGGATGTGGGCTTTCACATGAGTGACAGGCAGAGGCTTCAGAGGGCTTTAGGCAGAGGGCCACTAATAGTGTTTTGAGAGTAAACCATAGCAGGTGGGGGCGGAAGCAGAAACTAGGAACCAGGTCTAGTGTGGCCACAGCAGCACCGAGAGGGTTAGCAGGGGTTCTGAAAGCAGGCCCCCTGGATTTGCTGATGGGCCTGGAAGTAGGCACAAAGCAAGCATCAGAGACAATTCAGGTTTTGGCTTGAGTCACAGGAAGGCTGGCAAGGCCACTGTGCAAGGGGAGAGTGTGAGGCGGATGCTTTGGGGGTGGAAGGGTTTTAGTCTGGGGTATATCTGGTTTGAGATGTCAGTGAGCCACCCAAGTGGAGAGGTCAAGCAGGCATCTGGACATATGAGTCTGGAGTTCATGGAAAGAGGTCCAGACCAGACGTGTAATTGTGGGGTTCTTAGTGAGCAGATGATTTATAGAGCCCCATGGCTGGACAGGCACAGCAGGGGAGTGAGTGCACCCAGGGAAGGGGAGAGATCCCTGCCCCAGTGTGAGATCAGGGGGAACCAGCAACGGAGACCGTGAGAAACAGCCAGCGAGGTGGAACAAGGTGGTGCTGGGAGGAAGTGAAGGAAGTGCTTTGAGAACGAGCATACCAGCTCCTCGGTGCTGCTGGGAGGTGAGGAGGATGGCGGCTGCAGATTGACGTGGCCGGGCCGTCAGTGGAGTGCAGCACGAAGGCCGGTTGGAGAAGGATCTACAGAGAAAAGTCAGGAGGAAAAGGAGCGGTGGTAAGACTGGTCTGCTCCTTGTGGGGGTCTGGCCGTAAAGGGGAGCGGAGAGGTGGGGCAGCAGCCGGGCAATGTGAGTGGAAGAGCGGCACGTTTGTGCCCTGGCAGCCGGCGGGAGGGCCCGTGGAAGTACGCTCCTGGCTGTGGCTGCCGGTTAGAATCAGTGGGGAGGGGTAAGTCTCCGGATGCCTGGGTAGAAATCCAGGTTAATCAAGTAGAAGTCTTTGGGGACCAGGCCCCCATTCATTTTGTTTTAAAACCTGCCAGGTTGTGGAGTATAAAAACAAAGCAAAACTGAAGAACAAAATAGCAGCAGACTCACAGACACAGAGAAGGGACTGGCGGTTACCAAAGGGGAGGGACTGGGGAGGGTGGGTGGGGAGGGAGATAGGGATGAAGGGGCACGATAATTTACAATAGCAGTATAGGCAGGTCATGGGGAAGGCGGTACAGCACGGAGAAGACAAGTAATGACTCTTAGCGTCTTACTACGCTGATGGACAGTGACAGCAGTGGGGGGGGTGAGACTTGATAATAAGGTGAATGTTGAAACTGCAGTGTTGTTTATGTGAAACCATCATAAAATAGTTTATCAATGATACTTTAATAATAATAAAAAAAAAACCTTGCCAAGTGACTCCAACACGGCCAAGACTAAGAACCACCGTGTGAGAGAAAGCCACACGGGTAGCACAGAAGGGAGAGGGAATCGTTGCTGGTAGAGGAGAGGGGTGGTATTTAGGGAAGGAAGAGGGTTTCTTGAGGGGAGCACGCACAGTTGGCCTCTTAATAGGTAACAAGTCATCCTGTTGCTGCTGGTAGGGGGGTCTGGAGGGTGGGCCGCGCTGGAGGTTCCCTTCCGATTGTCCCTCGGTCAGAGGAACGGGGCTGCAGAATAACCAGCTGGGGGAGAGGATAGGAGAGTGTTGGAGGCTTGAGGGAGTGGAGCTGAAATGCTCATCTAGGGGAGTGGAGAGCAGCTACCAAGGAAGTCTCCGGGGGTCCCAGGCAAAGTAGGGGTCCTTCAGGCTTCAAGTGAGACCACTCAGCCCGGCTGCCCCCTCCCTGCTGCTCCGCAGTCTGGCCTCGGCTCTGGGGCCAGGAGGCCTGGATGAGGTCCTGGCTCTGGCCCTTGTTGCTGTGATCTTGACCATGTTATTTAAACCTCCTAAGTCATGATTTCTTCGTCTGTGAAATAGTGACAATACCAACCACCTAAGAATGTGTTAAAGGTCAGAGGTGGACTGAAAGCACCTCACACGGAATAAACGTTAGCTCCTAATACTGATGAGTCAGGGATGGCTGTGTTCCAGCAAAAGAGCCCGGGGTATCCCCTCTGTGTGGTGGGGCCTGCACTTTCTTCTCTGTGTCCCTCAGAGAACATGGTACATGCTGGCCATGAGGAAGTCATGTGGTCAATAAGTGCCTTTGGCTGAATAATAACTATTTCATGAGCATCTATCTCGGGATAAGCTACAAGATCATCGAAACCAAGAAGAGGGCAAGACAAGGTACAAATAGCTTGTCTTACCAGTATTTTTTCCTTTGCAATCCTCCCTATTTTAAACACTCTGATTCTGATCTTCATGAACACTTAAAAATAAAATGTGTATTTATACCTCTTCTACTTAGAAGAAAAACATCTGAGATCACATCCAAGAGAAGGCGCCACTACAATCGGGATAAGGACCATGACTGCACAGCCCAACCAGGGGTGACTCCAGGGCCCCCACACCATGGGGAGCTGGGTGTGCTTGTCTTGGGGCCCCCTGAGGCTGAGCGAGTGAGTGCACCTCTCTGGCCGAAGGCGGCCCTCCTCATGTTGCAGGCGAATCTTCATCCAGATTAAGTGTGGCATCTTCATCCAGATGAACTGCGATTTTTTTTTTCAAAAGAAACCCCCCCTTTTTTCCGTGAGTTTTGGAAAGGGCACCCTTTAGTGACTCCCTCAACACAGCCTCCTCTGGGCTGGGCCCCTGAGAGCCTGAGTGACTCCACTCTCCCCCCAAAAGCCCATCGATGGTGAAAGGGGTTGGGGGGCCTTCCTGCTCTTGGGTTAGTAACGGGTGTCCTCTTGGCAGAGGGGCCCCCAGCTATACCCTGTTACTGAAAGGCAGGCAGGAAAGGGAGGTTGGGTTCCAGGGCTGTGCCAGCACGCCCTCAGCTCTGCCTGAAATGGGGGGCCATCCCCCGTAAGCCTCAAAGATCCCTGCGTGAGGAGACAGCTGTACTGGGAGGGGCTGGCCTGGCTCCGCTCTACTGGGCCTGGGACACCCATCACAGTCTGTGATCACAGGGATCCTGGGGGACCCAGACGCCCCGGGGCCAAGCCCTGTCCCACCCCACACCGCCAGCGCCCTCTGCCCCGGCTGGACCTCACTCCTGCGGGTGAGTGTGAAACAGCGAAGCGTGACACTCTCGTGAAGGAACTTGGGTCCTTTGTTCCACAGGCTTCTCTGATCCCTGGATGTAATAGTGATAATGAAAATACATGTTTAGAGAGGGTTTCACAATTTACAAACTGCTTTTACATAACTTCCTCCTTCAAGCCTCAGAATAAAGGGCCAAGCGAGGCGGAAGCCCACTGCCTGGATGGGGAAGCCAGGCAGGTGCTGCCATCAGCACTGGGGAGGGAGGGGGGCACTCAAATCCAGACCCCACCTGCTGCGGACAGAGGTGCAGCAGAGTGCGCAGCCCTCCCCTGGCAAGGGGGGCGAGCCGAGGGCCTTGGAGGGCTCCCGTTCCAACGCTTGGGAGCCTGCGGTGAGGATGACAGTCACACTCTGCAGCCCACACACCTGGGTCAGAACACGTGGCCAGCAGGCAGTGGGCAACCATGGGGCCCACCAAGGGCCCAGCTGGTCTCCAGGCAGCCCCTCACCCGGCAGCTCCCACAACGCTCACTGCGCTCAGAGAACTCGCTGATTCTCTGGTTCTCTGGCCGTGATTGGAGCTGAGTCATTCTCTGCCTTAATTAAAATTGAGGCTTGGGTATAAATGTGGCTGTTGCAATGCTGAAAGTAAACTGCCTTTGCTTCACGCTTGCGATGAGCCGTCCTATCCCCTCTCTGTGCATTAACTTTCGGGTCAGAAGGTCTGCAATGTAATTTCTTTTCCTACTCAGAGCTGGGAAAGGACTTAGGCAGTTTGAGGCCTGGGTGGGCTCTGTCCAAATCGCCAACAGACTGCCATCCTCTGCTTTCCTGTGACACTGGCCGGTCAAAGCAGAGTCGGGGCCATAAAGACCTGATGTCTCCGGGGAGTCGGGACTGTATGCAACAGAGCCACTGCGCCTTGAGTCCAAGGACGGCTGCAGCTGGTCCCAGACTTGGGGTTTTCCCAGGGCCGCACCCTGCCATCTGGTTGCCTCAAGCACAGAACTGCCGTGTGCTCCACTGAGGTCTCAGGTCCAGCACGGCTTCTAAGAACAATCAAGTCAGTCTTAAAAAATATAACACAGGTAAACCTTTCAGCAAACATTGGTAAGCTAAGCAATAGTTGTCTAAACTTTCATGGAGTAAGGTGAGCTTTACAGATAAAGCAAGCAGGGCAGTTTATAATGAAGGGCTGAGAGGTGAGGCAGGAGCGGTGGGGGCTCAGGAGCGCAGCAGGGCGGAGGGAGAGCCAGAGGGCTTAGTGGGGTTTAGGGGTGCCCTGAAGGGGACAGAAGGAAGCTATGGGAAAGTGGAGGACTGGAGACAGGGTGCTTCAGGCAGGAGAGGGCACAGGGCAAAGGTAAGGAGAGGCAGTGTGTTGGTGTCCAGGGCTGCTGTAACAAAGTGGGGCACACTGTGGGGCTTCTAACAGGTCTTAATTCTCTCACAGTGCTGGGTGCTCGATGTCAGAAGTCAAAGTGTGGGCAGGGCCATCCACAGAGCCCAGGAGGCTCTAGGGAGAGAGCTGATCTATGCCCACCTCTGAGCCTCTGGTGTTGCGGCGATCCACGAGCCATGGACGTGGCGCACTAGTCTTGCTCCTGTCCTCCGTGGCCTGCCCCTTTGTGCATGTCTTCACGTGGCCTCCTCTCTGCGTGTGCCCATCTCTGTGCCTTCCCCTCTTCCCATACGGACCCCGTCACATCAGATCAGGGCCCGTCCTACACCAGTGTGACCTCACCTCACCTGGATGACCTCTGCAAAGACCCTATTTCCTGATAAACTCACATTCACGGGTGCAGGCGGCTTCAACAGGTCTCTTTGAGGGGACAAAATTCACCCTATACAGTGTGCCTTTGGGCCAGAGGCCAGCTTGCCTGACTCCTGTGGGAGATACTGAGAAGAATGGAGGGCTGGGGCTGGGAGCACTGGGTGGGCAGGGTGCTGTTGCAGCAGTCACATGGGGGCCGCCTGGCTCTCATCCCCGGGAGCCCACTGCAGCAATGGTGGTGTCAAGGCGGGCTGGAGCACCCCAAGGCAGGCCTGGGGTCTGGAGCAAGGCTGACCACCTACAGCAGAGAACCATGCTCCTTTTGAGAAACAGGTTCTGGCATGCTTCTGGGCCCAGAAGGGGCCAGAACAATACCACTGGAGCCTCCACTGTCCAGTGACTGCAACCACCCGCTGTGACCTGGGTCCTGTGGGACCCACCAAGCCACACAATGGAAAGGGTCTAGAAGGCCAGAGACAAGGAGGTCTGGGGTAGAGGTTTATGCATGGACATTTGGGAGTGGGCACAGGATGTAGAGATGTTTGTATCCCATGTTAGTGCCCACCAGACAGCACCCACTGGGAAGGGGCCCTGAAGAGCTGGGTGTACAGAATGACTACTGGCAGATGCAGCTGGCCTTTGTCACCAGCCACCTTGGGACTGGCAAGATGGGCGCATGCATGGAGCAGTCATGGCAGCAGAGATGGACCCCCACTTGCAAGGATGACCTATCACCTGCCACGTCTGAATCTCCAGCCAGTCAGCAGCCGAGACCAACACTGGCCGTACCCAACAGGGTGCTGCTCCTTCAGACGCCAACGATCTGCTTGGCCGCAAGGTGGACACATTCAGCCCCTTCCATCTTGGAAGGCCAGAGGTTCATCCTCAAAAGCACAGAGACCTAGTCCAGGTATGGCTCTGCCCGTCCTGCCCACAGAGCCTTGGCTGGTACCACCGCCCGAGGGCTCACAGGCACGGACGCCCACAACAGCATCCAACACAGGGACTGCTTCACAGCAGGGAGTGTGGGGGTGGGATCCATGCATCCCACCGTCCAGGAGTAGCTGGCCTCCTGGGGAGCAGGGATGAGGGACGGAAGGCCCGGCTCACGCTGTGGGGCAGTGCTGTGTGGGGCTGGGACGCAGCCTCCTTCAGATGCAGCACGTACATTAAATCAGAGCCTCTATGGTGCCACAGGAAGCACATGTGGGCCACAGATCCAGACCGGGAGCCTGGCAGCCCAGGTACCATCACTCCAGTGACCCACTGGGAGACTCTTTGCTTCTTGTCCCTGCAACTCTGCCCTCTGCGGTGCTAAAGGTCTGGGTGCCAAAAGAGGACCCATTCTTGCCAGGGGACACAGCTGGGGTCCCACCGAACTACATGCTACAGCTGCTCCCAGCACACATTTGACTCCTTCCAGCCAGGACCCACAGGTAAGGGCAGAGTCACCACCTTGGTGGGGTAATTGACCTTGCTCAGCAGCCAAAGGCAGGGTGCTTTCACATAAAGGGGTTGAAAGGGAGGATGCAGGCACCCAGGGACCCACAGGGCTGCTCCCTCACAATTGGCCCTGCGTGACTGTGGACCCTGCAGCCCTGGCCTGAGAAGGATGGCTCAGGGCCATCAGGATAAGGTCTGGGTCACACCAGGAAAGCCGCTGAGAACAGGTATGTGGGGGAGGGGCACCATGAACATGTGGCCCAAGATGAGCGGCAGCAGGATGGCTTAGAGTTAATCCCCCCCTTCCCCTTCTGTGTCTCCTATCCGGATGAGGGGCCCAAGGAACTGGGTGGCCACATGGAAGCATGGATCTGTGTGGTGCGAGGGGGATGTGGTACCTAGCTCTCCTTCCGAGGCATCCTTAACTCACAGCCCCAGAGCCTCCCCCTTGGGCTCCCCACTGCATTCACACCGAGACCCCTTTCCCGGGCTGTCCCCAGGCAGTGAGAGAACACTGGAGTCCCAGAGAGTCACTCCTGCCTTTCATAGCGCCCCTCCGACTGGGGCAAGGTGACTGCCCGTGGTCTGGCTGAGGCGTCCTCAGAACCGCGCTGACCTGAGGCCTCCCACCCAGTCCTTCCCTCTCACTGCCCTTCCACACGTGTCAAAGCTCCCTGTGCTCTGAAGCTCTCCCGCCTGCCCCTCCCCCTTCGTCCTTCACAGACTCTTCCCTCATTAAATCTCCTACATGTCTAATCCGGTCTTGGCATCTACCTCCCCAAGGATCCTGCCTGACACAGATACAGTGGGAAATGGAAGCCTCTGAAATTGTCTTTTTCTTTGTATAATAAGGGAGAAAGAGAGCACACTGAGCAATCCTGGGATGCTAGTATTTCAGCCTGAAACAGATCCAATTTTTCATTAATAAGGGTCAGTTAGAGCCAAACTCCCAGGCTGCTGAGATGTGGGCAGAGGCTGTGATAAGGGAATTTTACTCCGACCTGCAGCAGAAGTTTCCACTAGATCCTTTATGTGCCTCTTCTACTTTGCTAGGTACTTCCACAAATATTCCTTTACAAGTTAATTGGCATTGATATTTTTGCTTTTCACACCTAAACTGGCCCTAAATTAATTTCTTTTTTTAAAAAAAGGAGTTCCAAAATATTTTGAGCAATGGGAAAATCTTTGGAATAAATGCAGATCTTCCCAATGGATTTTAAATGCCATCGTTTGTGTTCTGTTACCTTGCTCTCAATGAAAGCAGATAGTAGTGGGATACAAGGCAGGCTTTTTGACCATCTCATGTAGCTACTCTGTGAACCTGAACTTAAAAACACAAATCAGTATTAGTATCCAAAGGGAAAAAAAAAGAATGCGGTAAAAGTAAACCAAAAAAGATCTTTTACAGCAGATCCTGCTAATTCTCTGAACTAGAAATCTGAACATTTTTTATCAACTCAATGACCTTTCCTCTCTGCTCAGCCCATCCTCCCAGCCCAGAGGCATCTCGTTACAGTGCCATGGGAGGTTAACCGAAAATAAGAACTAAATCATGCCCATCAGAGTGAGTGACCACGTTCACCTGATGACGCTGTGTCCTGGCTTCTGTGATCACTGTTTTTTTTCTTGCTCAGGTAACTTGAAAAATTACTAATGGACCTTGATAATCCTAGTCATTAGTAAGCTTTAATCAGGCGTTCTTCAATCACACAGGGAAATATTCTCCTGAAGGAGGTGGTTTGTGCGCTCCAGTTCCATGACAGCCATGAGAGATGCCCACCTGAATCCCCGGAGTAGCAAGAATATCCGATTTCTCTGTCGAGCTGGGCCTCTGAGGACGGCCCTGGCATCCCGCCAGCGCCGTGCAGAGTCAGGAAGCTGCCCACCCACGCAGAGGGAGGGCCTTACCACTGGCACAGCCTTCCGCTCCCACAGACATTCAGAATGCGCTGGGGGATCGAGACGCTGGTGCTGCAGGCCACGCGGGCTCCGCCGGTCCTGCGAGCCTGGGCTACGTGGCCACAGCGAAGAACGTGGCTGGAGGGGCGGAGGGGCAGAGGGGCAGAGGGGTGAGGCTGCAACGCCAGACAACAGGGACTCGGAGGAGCCGCGAGCTCTGCTCACACCCCCTCCTGCCCTCTGCTGCTCTCCTCCCTTCTTTTCCTCCCCACCCTATTCTAGAGAGAAAAACAAGATTAAGAAAATTACAAGTGCTAAGAGACAAAAATCCATTTCCACCTTAAAAGATGGGAACGTTGGCTCACAGGGACAGGG